ACAGAATAAAAATACTGATAAGAAAACTGCTCATAAACTTGTCACTGCTTTCTCTGAAACTACTATCATATATAATTTTGAGTAGATAACATACTTTTTATAGACACTAGAGCCTTCCTTCTGATAAGTATTCAACCATTCTTCACCTCCTGCCTTGTATTATAATTGTTTCTTATCTCTAATATAAGGCTGTAAATTCCATAAGGGGGTATATTATTCTCTTTGTATAATCCACAGTAGCTTGAGTCATTCTTTATGGATTATAGGCATTGCATAAATATGTATGTGTGTCTGGATGAATGGCTGGGTGGAGGGGTGGATAATTGAAAAATTACAGAAGTTGGTTGGTTTTATTGTATTTGGGGCTCATTTTCCCTCTAAAGAAATGCATTCATATGTTACTTGATAGTATAAACCACTAATAATTATGACTGCTAATTAAAAATAAAACAATCAAACAAAAATAATGTAACAAACACAAGAGCCTTTACCTGAAGCCACAAAGTGAATTAATAGATTTTTTCAATAAAAGCAGCAAAATAATGATGGATGCCTCTAAAATCTTGGACGTAGCTAAGTAACAATTGTCCCAACTAATTTGGACAGTGAATTTCTATTTTCTTTTAATAAATACATTTTAAAGGATTTATCCAAGATTCATGTTAAAAATGGACGATAATCATATACACTGTCAAATTAAGAGCTATGTAAGAGTTCAGATAATGCTTGACAAATGTTTTGCTTAGCACTATTGAAGTATTTGCAATACTTTCTGATTTAAGATTTTACCTTTGACTTATTTTGACTTATAATCTTTAACTGTTAAGAATAGATTACCATCTTATTTAAGGATGTAATAAAGAAAATGTTCTAAAGTTTTGAGCTCTCCCATCCTATTTTGAATTTGAAAAGATTCTATTTTAAACATTTTTATGTAAGATTCCTAAACAGTATAGTTTAATAGGGGATAGGAGATCATGAGGATTAAGTTGACTACTGTATGTTATTGCATTCATGATTTATGAATATAAAAAGTGCTTCGTAATCTGTAAAGTGAAATATAAAAGCTGTTGTTTTTTAGCAGCATGATAATGCTGATCTCTGATATTTGAACTGCCTTTCTAACAATATAATAGCCTGTTTCTCTCTAGATGAAGTCTCATCGTAACACAACTGAAGAACAAAATTATACACTTTTAAGACATACCACTGAGTAATCAGCTCCCTTCAAAAGGATGTTTTGGCTTAATAATGAAAACATCTTAATAACTGAAATTATTACCCACTGAGTTACTGTCACTATAATGTTCTAAAACAGACATATTTCCTGGCATGAGAAATGCAGCCCTGTTAACTGATACTACTTAAGGGAAATTTCTATAAAAACCATTCTTGATGTGAAAGTCATCATTTCTCCCCCCTCCCTCCCTCCTTCTTTTCTTTTTTCCTCTGCCCTCCCTTCCTCCATCCCTCCTTCTTCCTTCATTCCTTCTTTCTTCTTCCTTTTCTACCCCTTCCTTATAAGTATGTTTAAACTACAAGCATTGAGCATAAGAGGGATTTTCTACCTCTACTCTCTTTCTACCTTAATACACTCAACTAATAACGTGTTATCCACCTCCTTAAAAATTCAGTCAAGACTTGTTCAAGTTTGATTTTATATCCCAAGAAAAGTAGCAGAAGAGTGCTTCATGCTTAGTGTGTGTGCAATAAGGTTTGCTGTTGAAATGCCCTAAATTAAAGTCTTTTGCTCATTCATGTCCCCTACATTTATTCCAGAATTATGTTGAGTATATATGAAGTTGGCTATTTTATTTTACAGTGCTAAAATATAACTCATACATGAATTGTGAGTTTGTTTAAAGGGAATTTAATGATTTTCCTCTAGTCTCCTATATTTGTTATAACTGATAAATAATAGTATGGTTTCTGCTCATTCAGTTGTTAATGTTTTCAAAACTTTTTATTATAATCCCCTTCTGATTGAAACACCAAAGTCTTCTCCTTTAGTAGTCAAGAAATGTCCTAGGACCTGAGTAAATATTTAAAAGGCATCTGATACCTATAGTAATACTTCCTCAAAAGTCTGTTTGATGCGGGTCCACACAAACGGCAGGCGTTCCTACAGAGTGTCTGTGACAGGGAGAAATGAGATACTAAGTAGCTCATACTTGCACCAGGAGTGATAAATTCTGAAGTGCCATCAATTATGTTTATCAGGATGTCCTAAATTATTCACTGATCAGTGCAGAGATACATAGACACAGTTATTTGGAACTTATTAATATTGCTTGAAAATGCTACATTTTCTTAAACTGCTAGTTAAATATACTGGTTAATTTATTGTTTGAGGAAACAATATTAGCAGAATGCATTTGTTTCATGTTTCAAAAAATTATTTGGCCAGGGTTGCTTTCTAAATAAAGATGATTTATAAAGGACATATGGTTCCAATTCTAAAGTCAAGATTATAATTCTGCATGTTTTTATTTCAAAAAGAAATTCCATATGTTTAATCTCTAATTGAGGGTATAGATAGAAATGTTTTTATAGATAGTTGCCATGCCCGCTCCTTCATCTGTATGCGTATGTGAGCGTGTATGTGTGTTCGTGTCTGTGTGTGTGTGTGTAGATGGATAAGTAGATATTCTATCATGTGTATACATGTGAGGACCTATTACTTTGACTGTGAAAATATTGCTTATGGAGTTTTAAAAAATAAAAGTATTCACTTATGATGTAAGGGTAAGTTAAAAATCAGGATAATAAATCATATTAAGTCATAGCTACTTTATGATTACATCTCTATAAACAACAACAATAAAGCTATGCAGAAAAAAGAAAGAATTACATAAAGATGTTCCTATTAGTTACTTGTGGTTAGAGGACTATGAGTAAGTCTTTAATTTCTTCTCTCAGTTTAAAAAATATTTCCATAATAAAAATCAATTGCACATTAAATGAAAAGGGTTTTCCTCAGTTAGAGAGAATTTATTTCAAAAATAATTTTCTCTTATATCAAGATAGGGGGCTTTTGTAAGTACATATAATTTCCCTTAATTTTTTTTTTTGTCTAGTAGTAAAAAAAAAAAAATCATAACATATTGGATCATTAGTACCCCATAGAAAAGTTGTATTTTTCTTTCTTTTTTTTTTTTAACATCTTTATTGGAGTATAATTGCTTTACAATGGTGTGTTAGTTTCTGCTTTACAACAAAATGAATCAGTTATATATATACATATGTTCCCATATCTCTTCCCTCTTGCGTCTCCCTCCCTCCCACCCTCCCTATCCCAGGAAAATTTGTATTTTAAACCAAGGGCATTTAAGAAGACATATGAAAAAGTCTCACTTCAAATACTTCTTTTGTTCATTCTTTTTAAATCATAGATATGACTAAGAGTTAACAAAAAAGGAATATAAACAGCTCATTACCAGGTCTAAAAAGTTTTCTCCCCCCCCAGTCAAGCTAACCTTAATTTTAAACTTATTCCTGTGATTAGACGGTTTCTACATTTAAAACTCTGTACAGATTGGCCAGATGTAGGCTCTTCCATTTGTATACTTTACTAACAGAAATTTCAAACTGTATTTTCAAAAAGTGATGCATGGTTTTAACTGAGCCTAGTGGGATGAACAGATTTTCTTAAGTAAAAATATCTCCATCTTTATCAAATTTGTTATCAGTTTGCTCTCTAATTCTTTGATAATACACTGATCTGCTTAACTTAAGTAGATACTAGGAGGAAGACAGGAATTTTTATTAACTTTGAATTCTCAGAATTACTGTGTGTTTTAAATGTCTAAGAGCACAATCTATTAATATATTCGAGTGTGTTTGAAACGCTAAGTTTTAGTGGTTGTTGTTCTTTGGTTTTACCACTGAATGCTCTTTAGTTCCTGTCAATGCCTTTTCACAATGTTTGGATTTGGTTGTATTAAAAATATCTAAGTATTATAAAGGACAAGAGTGGGTATCAGAGAATATGGATTATAATTCTGGTGTGCTACTAAATAGCTGTCATCTTGGAGAAATAACTTAAACTCTCTGTGCTTAAATTTCATGTTATTTATGAAAACAGAAAATCAACCAGATATTATCATTTTATTCATAATAAAAGAAATATTGTATTTTACTTTACAATATCAACTCATCTAGCCTTAAGGAGTTTCAGTAAAAGCAGACTTTCTCTAAGTAATAACCAAGATATTCTGTGGGGAAATGGGGAATTTTACCACAGAAAGAACAATGGCCAAAGTCATATTTGAACTATTCTCAATCATGGGGGTTATATTTATCAATTTATTTTATCATTAACTATATTTTTGAAAATTTTATTAGGACTGCTGCCTATTGCTCATTCATTTGCATTCATTCATTTGACCTTCATTAATAAATTCATTACAGAAAACTTGACACTCTGTAGAATACAATTCTTGATTCCTTGGCTTTCTGTCTAGTCATTTTCTTATGGTCCCCTTTTGTATTAGAAATACTTAGTGTATTTAGCCCAGCATTCTAGATACCCTGACCCTCAGATGAGATCATTACCCAAGGGCCTGAGATAATAGCTACTCCAGTCCCCTTATAGCCAGCCCCCCGGCCCCCCAGCAGAGTGTCAAGTTCCTCTGTATAGGTTTTTTTAAAAAGTGTATGTAAAAGTGATAAAGCAACATTTAAATTTAAATCAGCAAACATGCTATACGTTTCATGCCTATTTTGTTTTTTAATACTCATAACACACAAAGCCATTTGCATGTATTAATATTATAGAGGTTTAAAATTAAAATGTAAAATCTCACAGCACTTTAAAAGAAGTCCCTGCTCTCAGTTTATGTCATTATCACATAAGTTTCTTAATAATGTACCTAGATTAAATGTTTGAATTCATTTTTATTTAGATCCTTTCAGATTGTTTCAATATATCATTGACTAGGTTGTCATTGTTACAGTTTTGCAGAGGATTTATCCTAATCACTGTGTTTTTCCTCCGACAGCTCTTTCAAGCATTTGATTGGAGGACTGGATGATGTTTCTAATAAAGCATATGAAGATGCAGAAGCTAAAGCAAAGTAAGTGAAATTTGGGGGGGGGGGGTCTTAATTTTGATTTTCAAAAAACAATTTTGAATAGAAATGAGATCAAATATTTTGTTGGACTTAAAGCTCTACACTCTGACAGAAAGAAAGTAGCTACTTAAGAGTAAAAATAAGCAAGCTATTCAAGGTAATTATTACATAGTATACTTGCTTAGTAGGTACCTCTCTCCTTGAACATGAAACCTTAATTTTGTGAGGAAGATCATCTGGACAAGGGAAAATGGTTAGTTTAAAATCCAGTAAAACAATTGAATGTTAACACATTATTTCTTCCACTGAAAACACTTTCTGAATGAATTGCGGCTGTGTTCACCAGTTGCTTGTGAAATTGTATGAAAAATAATAACGCTGGAAATATTTTCTCGTGAATACACCATTGCTTTACATTGAACTTTGTCGACGAAAATTAATCAGTCGATCTAAGAAAGAAATGGAAAATTTTATTCAAGCCAAATTTGAGGATTATAACCTGGGAAGAGCAGCTCAGAAAGCTCTGAGAACTGTTCTGCTTATTAGAAGTCAAGGCACAGTTACACAAGTTATTTGAGACAGAGGGCTGTACATCAAATGATGTATTATTGACATAATCCAGATCTAAGTGTCATATGATCCCTTATGAGTTCAAGCAGGAAAGTTATCATAGGAGTTGTC